GCTGGTCGCCCGATCGCCTTCTCTGACCGGCTACGGACAGGCTGGGACTCACAGTGGCCAAGTAAGGAAAACATATGACGTTTGCTTCTATTGAACGTTGTATTCATGAGCGGTCTTCGTAACAAATCTGTACGTCTCCAGAATAGACCTCGTTTTGGCCTGAAAGAGATTGAAGTATTTCATGTTTTCATTTCAATCATACAGCTGTATGACTAATGCAATGTCCAAAAATGATATCGAGATCTAGGAAAAATTACATATTTCTGCCGCTAGTTCCTTCTAGCTCGTCGGATTTCTAATGGCCCGCTCTCCGCTCATGATATGTGTTTCCAGTTCGGCCCGGTCGGCGGCCACTCCTGGGCAAGCTCCCTGACATCTAGCGACGACGACGAAAAGTTTGAGCTGATCGCCGATGACCTGACTCCCGTCACAGTCTTCCGCTGCGACCCGTCAATAGTGACGAGGTAAGGTCATGACGAATCGGCAACTGGTCAGTGTTTTGTAGTGTAATTTTTATGTTTTGTTAAGTATCTCATTAGCGTTCTGCCGCTGGTTTACGCAATAAGTTGCTGTCAAATGCTGCAATAATATTCGTGATTAATTACTCCCGTTTACATTGTTATCGTATTTTCCCCATCATCCATCCAATATGCCGGCCCTATTTTCCCTATTTTCCTTATGTATTTCCCGGTATTTCCCTGGTATTTTCCCACTGAAGTCTCACCCCCCCCCCCCCCCCCCTGGTCCCCAGGAGGACGTGTGCTCTGTCTTCCTTGCTCCCCGGCATTGCCCTACTTAAGTGCCCCGCCTCCCTCTCGACCCCCAGGAGGAGTCCGCCTGCCCTGCCCGCCCCGCTGCCGACCTGGCTCAGTGGCTGGCGCCGTACTCCCGTCCACCGACCACTGCGGACGCCTGCCGCGGACAGGGGCAGACGGGCCGGGCCGGCGGACTGAGACTGGACCCCGTGGTACCGCACCCGCTGAGCGACTCCCATCGGGCCTGGCTGCTGCGGCCCGGTACCGCCGGAGGGGAGAGGTGAGAGAGGGGAGAGGACTACTGTAGATACCGTGGGTAATGGCTGGTGAAATAGGTCTGGGGATGTGCTCAGGTAAAGGACAATGTAGGGTGGGTGAGACGAACTTGTAAACTGATTGGGCAGAGGGAAGAGGTTAAAATAGTGCTTTCTTTTATAAAAGATATCCTGCGCTCTGAGAAGGGGCCTGCTCATTGTCATAAAATGACTTAGGAATAAGATGTAGCGCCGTAGAATAGAAGATGGGAAAAGAAAGCTGGAAGTCATTTCTAACAGTGCAGCGCATCTACCTTCACTTCTGCACTCTTTTTACATCACTCTCTTTACTGACGTTCTCTGTATCTGTTCTGACCTCCCCCTGTCGTCTGTTTTCCAGCGCTGTGCCGTCGCCGATGGTCCAGTGGCAGGCGGCCATGGCCTCGGACTCCCTCTTCAGACCCGGTTCAACCACTCCTTCCACCAGCGCTCCAGCAGCCGCTGTGACCTCAGAGAACCGCGGCTGGCTGCTGCGGCCGGCGGCCGATGGGGTCGGACAGTCACCCCCGCCGGCTGACGCTCTCTCCCAGTGTACCGAGCGGGCCGCTCGGCTGAGCTTGGAGGAGACCCGCTCGCCGTGGCTGGCGCAGACCACCCGACTGTCTCTGGAGGAGACCCGCTCGCCGTGGTTGCTCGGCGGTGGCGCGCGCAGCCCCGGCGGGCCATTCCCAGCAATGGAGGAGGAGGAAGGTGTGATGGAGCCGGGCGCGGTACCCGACCTTCTGGCGCCCTTCAAACAGATGGAGAACAACACCGCCTGGGTGGCCGCCAGAGGCTGATAGTACCGGTAGACGGAGACGGGCTGTGGCGGAATAGGGACGACGGCTGACTGCCAAAAGCTGACAGACGGATGGGTAGCTGACTGCAGAGGGCTGAATGCTGATAAACTTGGAACACTGAGTATGGCTGAACGCTGATGGCTGACGATTTGGATTGAGAAGTGAACGACTGACGAGTGACGACTGAATGGACGGCTGAGTGCTGGGTGCTGAGGGGCCTGACAGAGTCTGAATGCTGATACCTGAGTGTTGTGGTGGATGACAGCCGGCAGGGGTGGCGTGCTTTGATTGAAGGTCTCTAGCCGAGTGAGAGTTGAGACCGTGTCTAGTGGAAACCTGAACTTCAGTGAATTGGAAGCAAAACTGTGAGTGAAGGAATCCTATGCAGGATAGATGCTGACGGGAGTGGAACTCCGAAGCTTAGCTGAGAGTTGAGTCCGTGTGAAGAGGGGTGTCCAGAGTGAAAGGAATGAGTTGCGGAGGGTTGAGTTCCAGTGGAGTTGGAATTGACAACGCACAGCAGGAGTACCGGAACGAGAGGTATGCACTACGCTTTATTAGCTTCTAGCTAGAGATCTTCTCAGAGCCTCGCATGCTAGCAACTGCTCTAGCTTCTTTCTGTCGCTTTAATTGCAAACAGGCTGAGCCAGATCCATTATCTCCGTAGGCAATAATTTCGTTTGCGAATGAATATGATATGCATTACACTGACAAGCACGAGCAATTACCGGGCGAGATAAGACGTTGAACACTTTTTTATTCATTTTTTTTTAACCGAGTATTGCCTACCCAAATGTCTTCAGAAGCTGCAGCGATAACACATGCCATCCGTGGTAGGTAACTAACTACTCTAGTCTTTTTCATGTTATATGGTGACTGCTCATGCACCCGTACATAAATCAAATAGGATGCTGCACAGCTAGTCAGATTTACCTTCATTATATTTGCCGGCACCCAGCAAATAATCCTCCGTAGAGGACCCTCGATCCATCCCTGAACACTTGGAACAGTCGTCAGCAATTGCGGCACTATCGGGACGTACCTGCCTACCGTATAGGTATTTTATGTAATTACGTGATGTTTGCAGTGGGTTTATGTGTTGGAGTGGCCGTAAGTGCAGTTTGGAATCTTGCCGATTGGCGAAGCTGGTCCATGATAACGTGAGAGTGTACGCGCGACAATGTTATCCAGTTAGACAGGAAATGTACCGATCGCTCCTGTTTAGTGAATGTTCGCTCGTGCGCTAACGATAGCTGTTTGAATGGATATTTCTGTGATTACTGTGAAATCTGACGGAAGAGCGAATCTGTGCAGTGAGAAAACTGACCCGAAGGTATGACTGTTGAGACGATGGGATGTGTGTGTGTGTGTCGATCCGCTGTATTTCAATGCGTGCCTGGTATGATGCTGACTACTGTCTTCTTACCACGTCAATCTCCATACGCCAACTCTGACTTCCCTACTGAACCCCACTGTCCGACTGTATGGAATGAGGACGCTGGGGACGTGTATCGCCCTGTGACGTCATGTGTGGTCTACTGATGGCGTCATTGAGGCGTAGGCGGCGGCATGGGGCGCGTCTCAGTCCTCAGCGTAGGCTAGTCGTGCCTACTGTGATACCGCTCGGTCCACTGCTGCTGGGCTGAACCCGCGTCAGTGGGGTGCAGGCGATGATGTATATTGGTGTGGAGGCCATACTGTATATTGGTGTGGAGGCGATACTGTATACTTGTGTGACGTTTATTTGATATCGGTGGAGGTTTAGGGTATTTTTACTGTGAGAGGGGAGGTGCGCAGGTAATGTTTTAGAGAGGTAGTGAGTGGGATTTTCTCAGGATATGATTGAAACGTAACCGTACCACATATTTTATCGCTGGTGCTACATTTAATATTGCATTAGCATTGCAATAACACAGACTCGAGCTTTGATGTTATGTTATCGTTTAAAAGCGAGACACGCAGTTACTTTATTAGTTTTCCTTGGTGACGGCTAAGTATGAAATATAGCGGAGTGCCGACATTCTTAGCTTTCTGAATTATGTTAAACAAGCTAAGTAGCATACGATTATGAAACTGTATATGATTTCAATGGAAATACATTGTTGAAATGTCTTCACTATTGTGTCATTCTCAACCCATCTTCTAATTTCGACGAATGCCGGGAGATCTGAAATGCTTGCTCTGATTCCTACTTTCCTATGTATGTAGTTTCTCTCGATCGCTTCGTAGGTAGCGACAGCGTAGACCTGGGTCGATTGATTTGACTCAGACGATGATCATGTAGACGCGGCTCGATTGAGACTCTAAATATATCAGAAGTAAACCCAACGGCATGGAGACTGCAAACGAACAACATTGCTGCAACGGCACCCAATGCGACTGGTCACATTCCCTCCATCCAGTAGATCCGTTGTAAGTTTCAGCAGTGCCGTCAGCAGCAATTTCAGGTATCCGAGACTGTAACGATACAAACAACAGTAGCACCACGGTATGGAGACTGCAACAGTACACACAACAGTATCACCACGGGCTCCACGGGATGGAGACTGCAACAGTGCACATACCAGTAGCCAACACTGTATGAAGACTGCAACAGTACACACAATGGTAACATCGAGATATGGAGACTGCAACGGTACACACAATAGAAGCACCATGACAGGGAGACCGCAACAACGCACACAACAGTAGCAACACGGTATGGAGACTGCAACAGTACACACAACGGTAGCATCACGGTATGGAGACTGCAATGGTACACACAACAGTAGCATTACGGGATGGAGACTGCAATGGTACACATAACAGTAACACCGCGGTATGGAGACTGCAACAGTACACATAACAGTAGCACCACGAGATGGAGACTGCAATATCTTCAAACAGCAACACTACTGAATAACGGGTGTGCACTTAGTTTCTGGAAAAAGTTTGTGCTGCCATAACTTTAGTGTTTGAACTTAGATTAAGATGATATTTGGCACATATATAAATTGCAATAATAGTTAAGAGTTGTCAAAAGAATTAGGCGCTCTCTCCTCCAAGGCGGTCTACAGCCCACGTGCTATACAGACGCCCCCTGTTGAAATTGCGCGGCACCTCCGGGTCCAGGTGTGGCGATGGCTAGCGGGTCATGGACTTCAAATAGATGCTAATATGCACTTACTATCTTCCTTTAGTACTATATTGTCTTCAAAAGTCCCCATTTGGTCGCCGTTGAGATATGCCAAGAACATTCTCTTCGCGGCTCACAAACGGTACTATTGGTCTCAAGATAAGGGTCAAGATAAGGGTCCAGGCGGCCTGTAGGTTTGATGCGGTGAATACCCTCACCCTCGCCACAGCTGGAGTGGGGGTAGGGGAGGGGGTGCACTCGGCCCGAGTCTGACAGCGGGGCCGCTCGCCACAGTGTGGTGTCCAGCGGTGCAGTCGGAATCAGGCGGATTATGCCGGCGGCGGTAACCGGTCAAAGGGCCTGGCTCAGTCGCGTCTCGAGACGAGTTACCGAGCAGGGTGTCAGCGATAGATGGGAGGGGGTGTGGTCAGGGCGCTGTTTGATCACCAAATCAGCATGCTGTCAGTTTGCTGGCGTTTCTTATCTTCTCATTGGTCATTGATGAACCACACGTGGTGTGTGCGATTGACCAATGAGAGAATAAGAGACGCCTGTAAGTTGTAACCGGCTTCCATATATTGGAAAACCGACAGCAAGCTAAAAAACGACAGTGCATGAGGCGCACTGGCTTTGAAGGTCACTCCACAAAAGCATAACTTTCCATGGCTGAGGGTGACGGGTGTTACCTACCCCAGACTTCTTGCGATTGCTCTCAACAAGGCAACCATAGAAAGGCGAAAGCTGAAAAATAGCACACCTGACTTGATTCTAGCCGATTCTCTGGTGACACCAACGACCAATTACATTTTCAATTCTTGGCGATCACTGACTTATTACGTCATAAAAGACTTCACTCGGTTCTAAAATATTGCGGTTTGGCAACTCCGTCATTGCTAGGTCAACTTCTGCAGAAATAAAATTCACAGGACTTCATATTCTTCCGAGACCCTGCAACTTTTATGTCTCGTAATTTTCTATAAAGTTCACGTAAAGCTAGGTCAATGACGTGAGTTGGAAAGGTAGTTAATGACAAAAACTCTGACAAAAAGATGACAATGACAAAAACTCCCATATCATCATAATTCAACAAGGAAAATACTAAAATTTATTTTCATGACAAAAAATGACAAAAAAAAGACTATCGTTTGCACATGGAGTCGCGCTCGTGCGCTTCACTCCTTATAAGATCGATGCTCAACTTTTGCATTTTGAACCATATGCAACGTCATAAACGACGTTACATAGATATGGGAGTTTTTGTCATTGTCATCTTTTTGTCAGAGTTTTTGTCCTTAACTACCGTTCCGACTGAAATACAGGGTAATTATATATTAAACCGCGAGTAGGCAGAACAAATCGTTTAAACGTCTCGCCTAACGGCTCGACGTTTAAAAGATTTTTCTATTTTCGAGCGGTTTAATAATTTTATCCCGTACCGACAATATTTTTCGGGTGCTAAATGGTAATGAATACATTTTATATGAAAATACGACATAGTTCAGATTAGACGAAATGTTTACTAGACGTTTAACAGTTTGTTAATCGTCTAGACTTTTAACAAATCAGTTACTCGACATCGAATAATTTAAAGTAAACACTGTCTACGGTGCGGAATAACCACATTTAAACATCCACGCGCTATCCTCTAAATTCCAGGGTGGTCAATAAAAGATGACATAAAGTCAGCCCCCGCCGGAGGCGTAAGACATATTTCATAAACAGCTCACCGTTGGAATAATAAATCTTAGACATTCTACATCGCACAAACAGAAATCAAATGTGACACTTCAGTGTCTTCAGTGGCCGTATTCACAATCACGGGCTAAGGGTAGGGTAGGAGTAACGGGTAACGGGTTATTTTTGTGGCCGTATTCACAATCGAACGTTTACCCCTGATGGTCGCCCGGCGCCTTGCAGACGGCACCATGCAGGCCAGGTGCCGTATGCGTGGCGCCGGGCAATGATGATGACGAGATGTCAATCAAATACCAACTTTTTGGCATACCGATACCAAACTGATACCATTACCAACTTGGTATTTGGCGTTTCGAGGCTAACACATTTGGCATTTTGTTGGTATTGTGAATCCTCGCTAATGTAAAATAGACTGTGACTTTGATAAAAAGTTGGCATTTCCCTGATATTCCCAAGTCGGTTCGGTTTCGGTATTTTCCCACGGTTCCTGTTGGCCTTTGGTTTGGTATCGGTTTCACGACTTTCTGTAATTGACATCACTAGTCCATATATTTAAAAATGCCTTCCCAGGTTTCTTAATCTATTGCGAACGTGAATACTGGACACAGTGGACAGATTACTGAAGAATTGCTAGACTCTCTTCACCTTCGCGCAACTGAACAAGATCCCAGCACCCCTGGTCACTCTGCTGTCTGGATTTTTCCTGCTTGGACTTCACCGTTTAACCTCAAGCAACTCAAGTTGCGGAGCGAACTCAAGAGTCCTCGACCCTTGATGAACTGAACGCTGCCGTGAGTCGTCGAAGGCTTCGTCTGCACGATGGCCGGCGATCATTTGGGGCTCCAGCGGGGGCTTACTTTACATATGTCATTTGCTAATTCGTGACCTGACCTCAGAGGTCACATGTTGATCTGACACTTTTAACCTTATTGTGAATCGCTGGGTGTTGTTTTTGTTTGCAAGACTTTTAGCTTAATTATGGGTGAAACGGCGGCGAGGGTCCAGCACCCCCCCCCCCCCCCACACACACACACACACTCAAGGGCCCTCTCAGTATTCAGAAAGCCGATAGGTCCGACGAGGAATAACGGATACAACGACACCGAGACACGTGGACTCTTGAAATATGTTTGTTCCGTGTGGATTTGATTTTTGAGAACGTTTCCTTGTTTTGTCTATGTCTACGCTGAAATTCGCCAATCAGCCTTTTGCATTACCTGGCTGCATCGCTTCCGAGTCTCATCAGTGGGAATGGCTTCTACACTCTACACTATTAGTGCTTTCTTGGAATATCACGTTCGATAGGAGCATAAAGCGAACACATAGCAAACGGGGCGAGAGTAACACGTAACATATTGTTAAATGGTTAACCCTACCAAAGGTTGAACAATGCAGTTCTTGAAATGAACTGTTCAACAGTTGTTCAGCGCAATAAATGAAATTTTATGAAACAGTAGGAAATTAAAAGTTACGAAGGTTGAAATATGCAACCGTTAAGATAATGATATAAATAGTGACGTTGTCGGCGGTATGCCGATCATGACAACATTAATTGCTACGTCCTAAACAAATTGCCACGTCTTGCAGTCTTAGGTGATACTGCAATGAATGATGCGTGAGCTACATGGTCCGGCATAAGTTTTATCCTCTAAAGAAATGTTCTCTCTAAGTTGCTACATAGGGGACAGCGATTCTCTTTAGCGTTCAGTTTATTCCCAACGAACAGGGAGTTACATACGAACGCAAATTTGCATGCTGGTAACTAGTTTGTGCAGTAAATACGGCTGGATTTTTTTACCATGCCCGTTTGAGCTGCAGCGACAAGGCGCAGAGGCTGGCCGCCGGCTTCTGTTTGTCCAGGTCCTGCTGGACGATAGCCCGAAGTTCGTCGATCAGGATGAGGTCCGGATGGCAGCCGGCTAGCATCTCTTTCCTTCAGAAGTCTGGCACGTTCAATTCGCACCACCGCTAGGCCTTGGCAGAGCGATGAGCTGGCGCGCCGTCCTGATTGAAAATGCATGTCAACATGTCATTGACCATGCGTTGGCTTAGTATTGGGCCGAAGGTAGGTAATGAGCCTCGGAGGGCTCTTCCATGATAGCGTCTCACGGTCCTGTTTAGAGATGTAATAGCGCTTCAGCTCCAGCCGCTTGACCAATTTTGTCGCCAACTATTGGTCCCTCTTCCCGGCCGCCTTTTTCAATGCGATTTCTGTAACGTTGGAAATGGTAGGCGCACGCCTGCAAACTGAAACGATCAGCAACACTGCCAGCAGCCGTATGCTTATCCCACCAACACCGGG